CACCTTATTCCTGCTTTTAATTCCTCTGTGTCCTTGGCCACCCCCCCGCCCCATCCCAATGGTTCGGGGGTGAATAAATGGAGTTGCGCCACGTGGTGCGGCTCAGCGCCGATGACATTTTGTCATCTGCTGCTGTCTGCTGGTGTCACTCAGGCTGAAACATTGCCACTCATTACACGCTCCCACCAACAACACTGTTTACCCGGAGCAATTTACATGCTGTTTGTTCAGAAAGAGTAATCCAAATAAATGCAATTCAGATCCAACATGCAAACGGGTTTAAATAGACCACATCAATGGGGGACTGATAAGGGTTTTGATGGGCAGAAAGGGAGAGAGAGGGCCTTTTCAGCGCACAAGCCATTATTGCGGTTTCATTCTCGGTTTCCTTTTCCTCATGTGGGAGACGTTCGCCGAGTCATCATCTCCCGGGAGCACGATTCCTCCCCACCGCCTCACCCACTCAGGATTACGGCAGCTCTGGACGGGCTGCTGAGAGGATCATTTCTCCCACTCACTCCTTCCCTTTATCTGCACTATCTTTCTATTCCTGCACAACAAACATCTGCCGGCGGCAGCACACGTGTGTGTTTGTGTGTGCGTTAAATCTCTTGTGGCAAAGCTGGAGAGCTCCTGTTGGGCCTCTGGAGGGGGGGGGGGCATTATTTAAAGGTCATACTTTTTCTGTTGGTTTTTGCAAAACAAATTAATGCGCTTGTATTTCTTTTGGCCTCCACAATATTACAAAACGTCTACGTGCACTTCTCCTAGGCTGAGCCGGGGTGTAAAAACGGCAGAGCGATGGATATCTGGTGTGTATTGCTGAGGAGATAATAGGGTGGGATGTGTGTGTGTGTGTTGTTAGTTCTCTCGGCACGGCAGATGGTTCTGCGTTGAGAATGTGTTGGCCGCAGCAGCTGCTCTCACCGCACCTCCCTCCATTCTTCTCACCCTCGCACACACACTCACACGCACACGCACACGCGCACGTTTAAACACACACGCACATAAACACACGCGCTCCTGAAAAGCACACCGGGATCACCTGATGGAACTCGACACTGATGCCCTCCATTATTCATGAGCGGACCGAGACGGGCTATATGAGCCCCCTAACATGTTGTTAATTCCCTAACACAGCCCCCAGCCCCCCCACCTCCCACGATACTACTTTTGTCATGCGGACACTATGACGTCGCTCTCAAATGATTCGGGGGGGTGGGAAGCTCGACGGTGAGCAGAGTGAGTGCAGGAATAGACATTGTCCCTGTTCCTCCTCCCCCCCTCATTGTCTCAGCCTCTCTCTCTCTCTCTCTCTCTCCCCCCTACCCATCACCTCTGCTGAGGAACTTCAAAGCAGCTCCCAAGGGGACAGTACCCCCCCACACACACACACACACACCCACACACACAGCCCAAAGATGGCTAACAAGCATTCAAACGGTGGCCTTTGAGCAGTAGCTGGGTGACAGTTTCACCGAGAGGAGTGACCGTATATTGATTTCAGCAGCGCAGTTTTATGTGCCCGTTTTATTCTACCTCTCTTACCCAAACGCACACGCACGGTGCCGCACACAAGCCCACGCCGGGGACTCCGGATCTGATGGAATTCAGGTAACTCTGGGAAAAGAATGCACTGGTTATAATGTATAATCAGGGTAGTATTTACTTAAGTAATGGTAGATCTGAGAAAAAAAAACTGAATAAAACATGCTCTTACTGGAAACAGCCCCAAAACCCACAGTTGAATTATTCAGATTTCAGTCCTTGATGTAAATTGGTCTAATGTTTTCTGCTTCCTGATCAGGATGAATCTGGGGTTAAGCTCCCTTTGATCACCAGAAGAAGTAGGCGTTCCCTTGATCTTCCAAGTTGCTTAAATGCTCTCCACAGTTGGAGACTGACCTCAAACTTTGAGTTGAGCTACAGAAGCACCGAAAGAATCCAAATCGATCAAAAGAAGAACTTATTCACCTCTGAATGTCAAGTGCGTTTTGAAGGACGCGAGGGGACGAAGGGCCCCGAGCAGACGAGAGGCAGACCTCGACTCACCGGCACCAGCTCTTTCAGACGCACCGATATACAGAACGGAAACAAAAGGGCAACGACCCGCACGCACACAGACACACAGCATGTTACAAATATTGCTTGACCAAGCATTTGATACGTACAGAAAACACACACGATGATACATGTGTGAGAAACAGCGTAAAGCATTAAAAGCAAAAAGAAGAGTGAGCCAGAAAGAGAGAGACAGACAGAGAGAAAGTGTACCTGTTTGTGCATGTAAAGGAGGAGTATTAAAAATGGATGCGCTGTAACCAGGGGAAGAGTGGCGTGCTATTTAGTCAGCCGGAGCAATTCATCCGAGGTAACCTGCGTGCTGGGGAGTCTGATAGAAGATGCTGATAGCTCTTCAAGCACGAGACGGTCGGAGGTCGCGCCATTGGTTGATTTCTTCCCGTCTGAAACATGTTCTTCCAAAGTTACAGCGAGCTCTGCATTCCCTCGGTAACTAATGAACACACCAGTTGGGTTTCTTTGACTCAGTTGAAGATGGATTCTTTGAACACGGATGTGTGGATTTGGTCCCCCAAAAGAGGGAGGAGGTATTAAAAAGCCCTGGGAACCAGAGTTTTAATATATTAGAGACTTGAGAAGTTATTAACCTGCCCTTCAAACTAAATTAAAACATGACTGATTTATTAAAATATTGTGAAAGCGTGGGGCTGAAGGGCCTAGAAATAAATTAGGTAATATAGAAATAATTTTCTGATTTTCTAGTCTTTTAAATCTTCCTCCATTTTTCTATCTCATATTACAATACGATTTGCTTTGGTCGTGTATCTGTGAGAGATCTCCTAGAGCTCATCATCCTCGTAATGATCCATTATGAAAACACTGATTTAAGCTATGAGAGAAATACGGCACTACGAAATGCAGTGTGATGAAAAATTTGAACATTGAATAATAAATGAAATTATCATTTTGAATCATCGTCCATCCCAACATCCATTCCACCCACGTGGGGCAGCAGTTTACTCCTTACCTAGAAATACTACCAGAGGGCACTTGGATTTAAGGAACACAGCCCATCAAATAGAACATAAAGGAATCACCACGTGCAGTGATTCCACACAGCCGGTTACGCGTCACTCCACAGCCGACACCTCAAGTGCACTTCCAAGGGCAATCGGGAAGTGATGTTTCAGGCCAATTTTCTGGATCTCGCTCCCTTTGGCATAAGCTTTTCACAAAAGAGCAAAGACGACCTCCACCCCCCCCCCCCACAGCGGCTTCGGCCTTCAGGAGAGCAGAGAGGGAAGTAGGACACAGAGCCAGCAGGGAGGCCTGCGCTGACAGGCCGCATGGGCACGGGGGAGGGAAACCACTGGGATGCTGCAGAGTGGTGCTGATGGTGCTGCTGGTACGCTCGCCCATGAACAACGTGGGCCTGGAGCAGGCAGGAGGGCGCCTGACATTTCCCTCACCCCTCCTACATGAGCGGCTAATCCCTCGGTCAGCCTCTTACCTCAGCCGGGCCGATCCCTCCGGACCGGCGCAGTGGGGCTGGAGTCAGCGCTGTCGCTGTCCCGTCACTCACGGGTCCTGCTGACTTTTTCCTTTTTAACTCTAGAGCCACAAGGGGAGTGCTTGCTGATTGCTGATTCACCCGCTGTTCACCAGCCAAACTGTCAGGCGCTGGAGGCCGTTTGGGAATGTTGTCACACAGCGGTGCGCCGTCAGGGAATTTGAAACAGAGTTTGGATTGTGAGTTTGTGTTATTGTTCAGTCCTGCGACTAACAATTATGTTGGTTATTTATTCCTTCTCAATGAGTAATAGTTTATCGGAAAATAACAAAAATGCCCTGGAGAATTTTTTTGGGGGGCACATTTGAGAAGCTGGTAACGTCACACATTTGGCATTCTTGCTTTGAAAAATGACTGTAATGATGAATTGATTAGGGAAAAGCTGCCCACTGATTTTCTGTATATCTACTAATTCGAGTCTGTAACACTGAATGCAACAGATCTAGCACCCATATTTGGTGTCATAATACATTACTGGATGTATTTGGAGACGAGTTAGAGCACTGATGTCCTGTGTTGAAAACACATACAAATACTTGACGCCCCCTGTGGGTTTTTACTGTATATGATGAACTCTTAATTCTTCTTCCCACTGATAGTTCAACAATACTAGAATATATTATTTTAAATGTGTTTTGATCGTTGAATTTGTAAATCCAATTGTCCGCAAAGGATATTAACTGCAAAATCCAAGAGCAGTCTAAGACCTCATTCTGAATCCTTAGTGTGTGATCTACATCTTCGTGCTTTCATAGTTTATAGTTTGAAAAACAACCCCATTAATCTCTATATTGACCTGTCGCTTTGCCCCCCCGACCTTCTATTTTATAAATAGATTATATGAGTCATTAAAACGTTAAAATCCACCGGATTGACCAAACAATACACGAGCTAATAGGAGTCGTTGTAAGATAATCGCTTATAATGTGTCCAATGCAACTAACTAACTAACTCAACCCGTGACAATTAAGCCTTCGTTCAACTAATATCGACATATTGTAGACGATGCTGTTTCCACGAATAGGGTGTGATGCTGCGTTCTGGGAGGCGATTAAACACAACACGCCCCTCGATTCACAGAAAATAAATGGACGAACCAGGGACGCGGACATTAAATGCCCCGCGACTGAGAAACGGACAAAACACAAGATCCCGGGACAGCTACGAACATCAACGAGCCATTCAAAAAAAAAAAAAAAACACCACCATCTGCAAAACGAGGAGGAAAACGGGGCATCGCGTGAAGCCGTTTGTCACAGAAGTGTGGCCCGCGGCACAATGCGCTCACAGTATTCATGGTCCCGGTGGGGGGGGACGCGTTCTTATTCAGCGATGCTACCGTTATCGTCCCCGCCGCCTCAAACAACTTCATCCCGTTTCGGTTCCCTCGGATAAAACCCCCCTTAGCGTTACTTGTTCTTGCGGTCTTCTGCCTCGCTGGTTTGGCGCACCGGGGCGGATGTTTCGCCGTGTAGTCTGTGACTCGGCGCTGCGGGTCGGTGCTGATGTGGAGGCGCGTCTTTGGTGCCTCCTCTCCGGCGTTAGCTGGCAGCCCCGCGGCTTGTGGTGCTGAAGTGGACAGCGCACCGAGGAGCTCGGGGAACAAAACCCCACCGCGCAGCGCCTCTCGCGGCCCGCCCGCGAGCTCAGCGCCGCGCCCTGGACCGGAGGAGCAACTGCAGCCCGCGCCTGAAAGTGCACGGCGGCCTTGCGCCCCCTGGTGGCGAGAAGCCTACCCCGCTTTTCTGCATTACGACGAGGAGAGGGGGTGTAAACGATGAAGCTACTGATGGCTGAATTATGTTTCACTGCAGTTCCAGGCTCCTGATATTGTGTGAGCTGTTTTTTTGGTCAACGCACCACTTTAATAGAGCAGATATGTTATTAGCACCAGTTTAAATCCTAATACCATTATTAGTGTTTCTTTGTTTTTTACCTCTTGCCCAGATTTAAATGAAATGTTTTTCATCCATAACCTAACCTAATATTCTTATACAGCCCCTGCCAGCGAGGCAGAGCTTGTTTTATCTTACTTTTTGCGAGCAGTGCACAGTGATACCCAATACAGCAAGAAGTATGAGGTGCAGAGAGACATATTGTACCAAGGACATGTCACTTTTTTAAACAGAAATTAATTCAAACTATTCACAGGGACTAAACTTCATTTACCAAATAAAAAATATGTTTAGAGTGGAGTATAAGTGTGTTGTACCTTCATGAGTATTTAAGCATGCATCACATATAGTTCTGATGGTTTTTGTGGGTTTAATGGAATACATTCTTTCTGCTGAGCTGCGGCGCTTCATATGGAATCTCGCTGCGTTACTAAAAGTCCAGGAGATGGGGGACGAGTCTTTTTCAGCAAATCCACATGCACAGAAGATCCACATCTTCTGTGCGTTGTGGTGGATTCTAGTTAGGTTTCCGCTGAGTCTGTTCTTCTCAGTCACATGGGGTGTGTGTTGTCCCGAGTGGCGGCACGTAAGGAGTGGTGGGCGACAGCGGCAGGGTTGCCCTGGGTAACGGCGAGGGTGGCCTGCTCCGGCAGCAGGGTGGGGTCAGTCAGGATGGCCGTGGTGGTGCTCAGGATACGGAGTGAACTCAGAACCACTGACAGAGGACAAACACAGATTACAGCCATTACAGGGTCAAGGAACCATGAGGATTACGCAGAGTAGAAAAACAGGTTCAGATCTGCATTTAGGGAGGTCGTTGTCCTGCACTCACTGGGTCTTAGGGCGGGCAGGGAACAGTGCTGGTCCATCCAGGACAGAGTGGACCGACACAAGTCCTCCACGCTGGCAGTGGACACCATTCCATTGTAGGACTCAAACAGTGGCTCGATGATGATGCTGAACTGATGCGGAGTTGAGGTAAAAAGCAAATTAATTGTGACACACTTAAGTTCTTGTTTTCCTAACGTTGCTTAATTGATATTAAAAGTAGCAGCATACACTCAAATATAAAATACATAGTTTAAAAAATAAATATTTTAAAACATAAGAAATCTAGATATTCAAGACTAAAAGGGCTCATTGTTACATAAGCAGCATTATACTAGTGGTCCAAAACAGAACCAGTATGTCAGTTCTTATTGGTACATAGCATCATCTATGGAAAGGCAAGACAATCACCAATCGAATATACGCTAAATGTTTCTATCTTGTCTCTGTGTAAAGAGAAAATATCTTCTTGGAAAATACCTCAATATTCACATCAAGAAAAACACCCTGAATGTGCATCTGTGCAACACACAAAGATTAAGTGGTAATCTAATCCTTGTATCTTGCCTCCAATATAAGGGAAGCAGTAATGGATTGGGTAAATATTGATGAAAAAGTTGGACTGGGTTAATATTACATTCTATGCAACTAGCATTTATAACACAAATACATTAATTGTATCTGCCTTATTACACTGAGACAACCGAGATGGAGACTGTACTTTCTTTGAATGAAAACTACATTAGCATACTTGCATCCATACAAAGTATAGCTTTTGGTTTCTTACCATTTTAGTAAAATCCTCATATCCCTGCTGCACTTTAAAAACATCTCCTCTCTTTCCTTCCACTTTGGCATAATGCTCAGTGTAATTATTTCATTTGGATTTAAAGAAAAGGTTTTGGGGAACAAAACAACATTTTATATTCCTTACGTGGGCTAAAGAACCCGGTTGATGATGAAACACACACTAATAAATGAATCAATTCAGTACCCATCACTGGAAAATATTCTGCACACATTTTCGATTCATATCGAGTAAGAATAATCCCGTTTTTGTTTAACCTCTCGTCACATTTACAGTCACAAAGGATACGATCCAAAACTTCCAGTTTCTCAGCGTCTGTGCCTGGACGTACTCTCGGAACTTCTGCCTCATGTGGTCAAAGCGCTGCCGTGTGATGGGCACACCGGTAGCCGGCAGCTGCTGCTGGCAGACGCTGTAAGGAGAGAAAAAAGCAGCGTCATCAAAGCAGGGAGGTGCGTCTCCGCGTCAGCAGAGAAATGTGGAGTATCAAAGAATAGGCTTCAGGTCCGTTATCAATCAGCAGTCAAGTACGGCTGAAAGTCTTACTTGACGGCCGAGTTCAGGAGCTGGATCTCCTCTCTCAGTCGCTGAGCCTCGTCGTGCAGCTGAGCTCTTTCCTGCTGCATCTTACTGATGTACTCGGCAGTCTTGTGCAGTGTGGTGGCTTTGCTGATCTGTGCCAGCAGACAACATTGTTCACAATTATTCAATATTTTGCTGTTTTCACATTTATTTTTCTAGTTAAACTTTGGCGACGCCCCTTGTATTATTAGTTCTCTTGTCAGAGTACCTTTATGCTCGGCTGAGAGCTGAGCGTTGTCACAAGGTTATGTAAGGTGTCAAAACCCAGTTTGATGTTGAAGCGCCTCTTCTGTTCAGCCGAGATGTGGGTTATCCTCCTGGTCTCTGTTTGCTGCAGATAAGGAATGCATTGTAGAAATATGCACATCACACCCAGATTGAAGTGCTGGGTCAACAGTCGGTGTATGTATATATACCGTATTTTCCGCACTATAAAGGGCACCGGATTATAAGGCGCACCTTCAATGAATGACCTATTTTAGAACATAATTTCATATGCAAGGCGCACCGGATTATAATGCGCATAAGATACTGCAGTCAAACGTTTGGCATCGGGGCAGGTGGATGGGGGGTTGGGGAGGTGGAGACGGTGCTTTCAGGGTCTGATCGATGCTGCGAGGTGCGTCCGCTCCCGCCGCCCCCCTCGCCATCCATGACTTAAATCTTCGGCTGCTCTCCAGCCACGCCGCCTACCAAGGGCTCCTTTTAGAATAACTTATTTTCCCCGTTAAGATGGTTCAGCTACTGTAGAGAAAAGGGCGCCGTCTCTCGCTCTTTAATCCCATTAAGTGCTCGGCAAGAACGACAGCTTTGTTTCTCCGACGCGCCCTGAAACAAGCTCCATATCTCACGCGCTTGAGCACAGCTCAGCATCTCGCCATCGTAGACCGAGGTTTGGCATGTTTAGCAGAGCGCCTTGAGAATTATAAGGCGCATTGTCGTTTTTTGAGAAAATTAAAGGCTTTTAAGTGCGCCTTGGAGTGCGGAAAATACGGTACATTTATATATATTCAGTGCCATTCCGTATTAGAAAATGAGACAGAATGTCCTACCTTACTTGATTCTATCTTTCCGTGTCCTGAGAAGCATGAGTGTGGGGACTCGGAGTTGAAGCTTTTATCCGATGGGTTAGGCGGTGACATTTGGCCTGTATGTCCTGGAAAATGAACTAAAACAAAGACAAATAATACATCGAAAAAAGAAAAAAAAATGTATTAATCAGACATTATATATAATGGAATCATAGATTAGACAATAGTAAATAAAACGAGACAAATATTTATATTTGTTTTAAGTCGATTTTTCTATCTTTATATAAATTCCTTTATTTATATAGAGTACTTTCCAATTTTATTTTGTTTGCATGATAGGAAAACTAAATCAGAAGAAATATCATTTTTAAGTGTACGTCTTTTATTTCATGGCCATTATATTTCTGAAAATAAATGAATATGTTTGCATGTAGACAGGCTTGTTGTTTGAAGAGGAAAATGTTCCCATTGCACCAACCTGTGACTTTGGTGCTTTCGGAGCATTGTACCTGTTAGGCTGCTCCTGTCCGCACCGCAGAGCTGGACAGGAGATAGTTTCTCTGTCTTGGGAATGAGGAGGCTTGAGCCGGTTTGGGCGGAGGAGCCGCGGGTGAGCAGGGACGACACGGCCAAGCTTCTGGAGGAGCTGACGCGGGATGTACTGTGACCCAGGGGGGAGCTGTGACTGTGCAGAGGCGTCAAACCTGGGATCCCTGCCAGCCAACCCGCTCCGTGCTGCAGCTGTGACGAAGCGCCTCCCACATGCGTGCTGCTGCTGCTGCTTGACTGCTGAACGACAGACAGGTGAACCACGTATTACACATATTACTACACCATATCATAGATCCGTGTTAGACATCCATCCATCCATCCATTGTCAAACCGCTTATCCTGCACACAGGGTCGCGGGGGGGCTGGAGTCTATCCCAGCCAACTTCGGGCGATAGACAGATAAACCCTGGATTGGTCGCGTTTTTAGACATCTTAGAAATAAAATGTTCTGAAACCGTAAACCAAAATAGTTGGGATTTGTGAAAAATTAACTGCCGACACCAATGAGATTTAGGCCATTTGAAAATCGTTTGTATTTAGCTACATTGGGAAGCTCTAGAACAGATGTATTGTGTTATTTCCTCTACTTGTTTAGCATCTGCTAAAGATTGATTTTTAAGAATTGCCAAAAAATAGGAGAGAAAGCATATGTCCCTGTGGGAGGTACATAACCAGGGACCCCCCCCCCCCCCCCATTTGTGAGGGTTAGAAAAAACAGCTGGAGGAAGTAAATGGGATGTTTTCACATCTCAGTTAAAACATAATTAATGAACGCCGCTCTTGGGATACTAAAGAAGAGGCTCACCAAGGAGGTGGGCGACGATGACCTCTGACCTTTGGCTGCCTCCAGAGAAGTGTCAAATCCTAGCGGTGGCTTCCCTGAAAGCAACAAACAAACAGAG